CCCCCAGCCCCCCAGCCCCCACATCTGCAGCTGTGAACCACGCATGGACCTGGGGGCTAATGCAAATGAATCTGGTTGGCTAAAGACAGGTCTCCTAACTAGCCTACTTGGAAAGTCTTGAGGGGCCTAGCCAGGGTGTTTCATGGCCCCCCAGAAGCAGAGAGACAAATGGGGGTGCTCACATCCACTGGGGGGGTCCCTCACTGGGAGCCAGCCAAGTGAAGGTTGCTCCCCAGAATTGCCCGAGCTCTCTTTCAGTCAGTAATCAAATTCAGCCTTATGTCTAAAAAGAATTGTCGGCACGAGCAGAGGTAAGGAGACGTTTCACTTTTACTGGTGTTTGAGTCAAGTCCAGGCAATAAGCATTTATTGCACTAGCTCTGTCAGGCGCTGATCAGTTCCTTTACAATAGGAAATGAGATCCTAAGGAAAAGCTTATCACCTGACAAGCAAGCCTTTTATGTACACTGAAGTGGGGTTCTGGAAAATGCATGTGTAAATCTCAGCAAATCGGTAACTGGTTTAAAATGGGAAAACTCGTGAACAAACCTTTTTGCTTTAATCTCTACAAACAGAAAACGGATCACACTTGAAGAAAGGCACTGCTCAGAGCAATCTACTGTTTCCTTTTCATTGGCTGTGGCTAAAAGAGAGGGTAAATATAGGAGATTTGAGCAAATATAAAAATATTGTTTTTGGGTCACAGCGATGGGTCTGAAGCACACACGCTTGATGTAATCAAGTTGAAACAAAGTTATAATTGGGGTTTCTAAAGTATTTGGGACACAGCACAAAGCTGTCAGGAGATTAGATTCCTTGGAATTTAGAGCTCTAATTTTAAATATCCACAGTTTTGTTTTTTAAAAAAACTTGGTATTGGACATTAGTTCACAATTTCTCTTTGAAGATAGCTAGGATAACAATCAAAATTGTCCTGATTAAATTAACTGACCCTTCTATTTTTCAAAATTAAGGAATTTGGTGATTAAATAAATTCTTACTTCTCTTCACACTGGGAAGATAAATACACAAGTTATTTTTGCTGTTTGTTCTCATAAATATTCTAATGTAACAGTGGAGCATTTCAAATCTGAAGGATTTTAATTTACTGGTAAATCATTTTAACAAGTAAAAGTAGCCAGAAAATGCAGATATAATTCATGTAGAAGGAAATAAATATATAAACAAACATTTAAAAAGAGTATTTAATTTAAAAAAGTGAAAATTATATTAATTTCTAGCCTATCGAATCAAAAAGATTTTTTAAAAAGAAAGATCTAAGCTCGTTTCTTTAGTGAGAGTATGAGAGAGAGACTGCATCCTCCCCACCCCAGGGCCCTGACGCTGTGGGGCCCTTTGTCAGCACGTCGGGGTTTTAGCAAACTCCCCATGAACAGGTCAGCTGGGACCGAACTGCCAGGCTTCATAAGACCCAGCACCCCTTGAGCAGCCTGTTACTGCTGCACTGCCGACAGTGGGAAACCCTTGGGAAGGGTTTTAAAAATAATACTCTTGGGGGCCAGCAGGTGGTGTGGTCGTTAGGGCACTGGAATCCCACATGGTCAACTGCACTTGGAGTCTCAGACCTGGCGGCTTGCTTTCTCACTTTCTCTCTCTCTCTCTGGTAAGCAGGTGAGCCCTATAGCAAATTTAAAAATAGTAATAATGATAAATAAAGGGATTCTTTGAAAACCTGATGATAACTCTGCTTGGTGAGAGTCTGACTTAGTAAACTATGCCTGGAAATAATCAGATGATCGATGGAGGGTCCGCTTAGAACTGCAGAGTCAGTCTAAACATTTCGAAGTCTCTGTTTAACAAGACAGCTACTTTTTCTGACCCCCACGTGCACACAAGTAAACCTTTTTTCTAACTTTGTTAGTTTAATTCATATGTCTTGGGTAATGGACCTACAAAGTAGAGGATACATTTTTTTTTGTTTTTGGTTTTTATTATTATTATTACTTAACTTCATTTATTTGAATTTGACCACAGAGGGACAGAGTGAGAGAGAGAAAGTAAGCTACCAAGTCCAGGACTTGAACTGTTGTCTGCCACATGGGAGTCCAGCACCCTTAACCACCATACCACCTGCCAGCCCCAAGGAGAAGTTTTTTTTCTCCTCCCCTACATATATATTGAGAGGCTTATAATATTCAAATACTTTGATCCCTGAATACCCTGATAACGAAAATCTAAAGAAATCATCCGAAGGCAGGGAAAGATGAATGAGTAATGTATTTTCAACTAGAAATAGTGGGAAAGAATGAAGGAGCAGCTGACTGCCCTCCT